AGGTTCACTTAGAATCATGGGATGGTTCAGGTGGGAAAGGACCTTAAGGATCATCCAGATCCCACTCCCCTGCATAGGCAGGGACACCTCCTACCAGACCAGGCTGCTCCAAGCCCCATCCAACCTGCCCTTCAACACTGCCAGGGATGGGGCAGCCACCTGTTCCAGTGTCTCACCACCCCCACAGGGAGGAATTTCTTACTCATGTCCAACCTAAATCTCCCCTCCTCCAGTCTCCCTGCCTGGGAGCTGAGAACACCTTCCCTGCTGGTTGGCAGCAGGAGGGGAGATGTGGGGGGGGCTACGTGCCCAAATCGTGGGGGGTCCAATCCTGCCTGTGCTCGATTGCAGCCAGTACTCCATGATGGATGATGAGGAGGAGCTGCCCCACCACGAGGAGAGGACGTGGTATGTGGGGAAGATCAACCGCCTGCAGGCGGAGGAGATGCTGTGCGGGAAGCGCGACGGCACCTTCCTGATCCGCGAGAGCAGCCAGAAGGGCTGCTACGCCTGCTCCGTGGTGTGAGTACCCTGGGCAGGGCTGCTGGGATGAGGGTGGCACGGGCCCTGCTCCTCCCCTTCCCTTGCCAGATACCAGAGGCTGTGGAGGCATCAGCTGGGCCTCTCCGAGGTCTCCCATTGGATCCTCCTGCCAAAGCCACGTGTGTCTTTGGCCTCCTGTGGTGACAGCTTGAGCTCTGCTGTCCCTGTCCCAGTGCTCTGGTCACTGACCCGTGCTCCCTTGTGTCCCTGGCAGGGTGGATGGTGACACCAAGCACTGTGTGATCTACAAAACAGCGACAGGCTACGGGTTTGCTGAGCCCTACAACCTCTACGCGTCCCTCAAGGACCTGGTCTTGCACTACAAACATACGTCCCTGGTGCAGCACAACGACTCCCTGAATGTCACGCTGGCTCACCCTGTCCTTTCCCAGCCACCAGCCAGATGAGCAGCCCCTGCACAACCCAACAGCTGCCTTCAGCTTCTCTCCCAGGGCACTGCTTTTCTGGCTCTGGACTTTTGCAGCCTGTATAGTTGAGTCTCTGTGCTCTGAGCCTCTGAGATGTCTGTGACCGTTCCTGGTGTCCTTTTTGGTCGGTAGCTGAAACCCACGTTGGCTGATGGGACAAAAAGAAGTAGCTGGGCTGTTGATTCCCAGTGGGCTCCTGACTCTATGAGGCGGGGTCCAGTTGTGATTGAATTGTTGTGGGCAAGCACAGCCCCCTCCCCTTCCCCAACCAGAGCCCCTCCTTGCTGGCAGGTTGCCCCGCTACACATCCCTGTAGAGCTTGGTTCCCAGTTCCTCACTGCGGTCACGGCTCTGAGCGAGGGGCTTCCTGCCTGAATGCTGGAGGAGGAGGTTGGGTGCAGCCTCTGCATCCTCCACTCTTACTTCCCTTGCTGCTGTTGCTGGCTGCGGGGGTGTCTGGTACGAGGGGTTCTGCTCTTCCATGCAGAGACTCTTCCACGAGGAGAAAAACCCCGTCCTCGGTGGGGCTTCCCAGCTGAGGGCTCTGCTCCCTGCCCTGCCCCACCTCGCTGTCTTCTTCCCTAATGCCATAACCACCCTTGAGTGTTGCTGTCTGGGGAGGGAGGATCCAGCTAGTGATGAATCTCTCACCTTGGTTGTGCCAACTAAGCTGTGAAATCCGTGTTGGTACCCCTGCTTTTCCCAGCAGGATTGGTGGGATGTAGTTTCTGCCTGTCTTGGGTGACCCTCCGCCAGCAGGACCCGCCGCAGCTCGCTGTGGCTCTGTAAATATGGTTCACTGTTTTGTTGTTGGCTGCTGACCCAGTTTGCTGAGCTCCCACCACGGCACTGGCCGGGCTGGTCCCAACTCGGGTCCTGCCAATGGGAAGGGACCCAAGTCTGACCCACGTTAGGAGCCCGGCACAAAATGAAGGACCTCTGTGGTGCAGGAGGACGGTGTCTCCGCTGGGCCTCAGCGCTTCAAAATGTATCTGCATGACGTGGAACTTTGTATGCAAAGCACTTATAATCCTGAGTACTGTACAGGGGCTGGGGGGGCAGCTAGGGCTGCTGTCGTGTCCCATCGGGGCTGGATTTGTTGTGTCCAAGCTCAGAGGGCTCAAGGGCAGCAGAGGTGGCCCTGGAAGAGCTTTAAAAGCTGGACCTGGGCTGAGAGTTGAGGCTGTGGTGGTGTTTGATTTACCCTGAGGAAAGCATTAATTGTCCTCCTGATCTGCTGGAGAGGCTCTTTCCCTCTCGGAGGCCGCGTCCCCGGGACGGGCTGGTGGATTCCGTAGCTTTGCTGCTTCTGCTTTCTGTCGTGACATGGACCTGCAGGGTGCTTTGTGCTTCTGCTCCCCCTGCATCCCATCCTGCTCTGCTGCTCGCCTTGCTCCAGGCTGGTCCACAGATCTTTTTGGACCTGGGATTGCTGGAATATGCATCCCATTCCCATTGCTCGTGGCTGCTTTCCTACATGTGACTGTACAGACCCCGTTCCCTGCTCCTTGTGCCCCCTCCAGGCCCTGGGCTGTGGTTTTTGGTTGTGTTTGGTGGTGTTTGGTGCTGTGAGGATATGGGGCAGCCGTGCTGACCTCACCCATCACAGCCTGGGCACCAAAGTGCCACAGAAGGGACAGGTCAGGGGAACCACAGGGTTCACAGCCCCAGAGAGGCTGCGTTTGGCTCTGAGGATCACTTGGGAAAAGCTGTTGGGAATGATTAAGGGAATAGCTTGGGCTCAGATGAGGGCAGGTAGGAGTAGGGCAGGGAGGTTGGTGCTCAGAGGCCTTCTGGGGTCTGGGGGGTGGTTGGGGGAGCTGTGCCAACCCCCCCCAAAGCTGCCAGACTCCCACACCAGTGCATTTTCAGCCCAGGGACTCTGTGCTGGTCTTGACCCCACTACACACTCCTCTTTGCACTTCCAGCATGTCTGGATGGGATCCTCCAGCCACTTGCCCTACAGAGGCCATGTCCCTCTGTCATCCCACCAACAGGAGCTTGGGAACTGTCCTGCCAGGACCTGCTGAGCACCTGGAAGAGTCTCAGCTTCAAGCCATCACATGTTGATGTTTTGCTTGGTGCTCACCCTGGCTCTGCTGGCTGGGGAATCCCAGCTTCTCTTGACAGCTTTGGGTTTTTTTGTACCCTTTTGGCTGCATTTCTGCTGAACATTTGCTGTTCTCCTTTCCTGCCACCCACCCAGACCCACTTCCTCCCCAGGGTGCATGTGTGATCATGGTGGGGTTGTGGTTGCCCCTCTGCATCTTCCAGCACTGCTGCCCCTGCCCACCACCGTGACCTGTCCCTGTCACCAGTCCTGGGTACGACGAGGAGGAAAATGCCCTTTCCTGGGGCTGCCTTTCCCCGACGGTGCTTGACTTGGCTCCCTGAAACGTGGCTTTTCCCCCGTCTCTCCTTGAGGTTTGCCAAGCCTGGAGCTCCCCCCTCCCCACAATCAACTTGTTGTGATTTGTCCCTTGATGCTTTTGCTCTTTGCGCCACCCGACCAACCCGTTGGCCACTTGTTTCCAGGCCCTGAGCTGTGCTTTGCTGCTTGTCACCCCCTGTGTCCCCAAACCCAGCTGTGTCCCCAGACCCCTGTGGGTTCAACGTGGATGTTTCTGCTCCTTGGGGGGCACAGCTGGGGACTTGTCCCCCATGCCCCCAACCCCACCCACGTCCTGTGGGTTCCACGCTGCCCTTCCTGCTCCCTGGGGGACACAGCTGGGAACTTGTCCCTCTGTGTCCCAGCTCAGGATGCTCCATCCTCCCCCAGTGTCACCCCCCCTGAGGGCTCTTGTGTCTTTGTGCTCGGAGAGGACATGGTGGCTGCGTTGAGAGCTCCTGAGATTTTAGTTCCTAGGTATATGCAATAAGAAATAACTTGTCACTTCAGCTGTTTGTTACCAGCAGTAGTTCTCTTATGCTCTTTCTGTCGATGTTTACTAATGTAAACCCAGTATTTGTTACTGTAAGAGGATTTTTGTTTTTGTAAGGTACTTAAAAAAAAAACACAAAACAAAACAAAAAAAAAACAACCCCACAACAACAACAAAAAAAAACCCCACAAACCCCAGGAAACAAACACAAAACAAACAAACAAACAAAAAAAAGGAATAAACAGAATTAATGAAACGGCTGCTGGGGTTGTGGTGGGAGGGGTGAGAGGCCGGGGCAGCGGGGGCGGGAGGGCGTTGGGTGCAGGATGTGACCCATCGTGCTGGGTTGGGCTGGGACTCTGCTCCCCTGGGATGTTGCAGGGCACGAGGCAGCCCCGGGGCTGCAGGAGCTCAGGGACCTGAAACAGATTGGAAATGATTTCAGAACAAAACTGGTTCTAAACACAAGGGGAAGTGGAAAGTTCCTCCACAAACGAGCCCGGAGCCGCTTTGTGCTTCTGCTCCCCCTGCATCCCATCCTGCTCTGCTGCTCGCCTTGCTCCAGGCTGGTCCACAGATCTTTTTGGACCTGGGATTGCTGGAATATGCATCCCATTCCCATTGCTCGTGGCTGCTTTCCTACATGTGACTGTACAGACCCCGTTCCCTGCTCCTTGTGCCCCCTCCAGGCCCTGGGCTGTGGTTTTTGGTTGTGTTTGGTGGTGTTTGGTGCTGTGAGGATATGGGGCAGCCGTGCTGACCTCACCCATCACAGCCTGGGCACCAAAGTGCCACAGAAGGGACAGGTCAGGGGAACCACAGGGTTCACAGCCCCAGAGAGGCTGCGTTTGGCTCTGAGGATCACTTGGGAAAAGCTGTTGGGAATGATTAAGGGAATAGCTTGGGCTCGGATGAGGGCAGGTAGGAGTAGGGCAGGGAGGTTGGTGCTCAGAGGCCTTCTGGGGTCTGGGGGGTGGTTGGGGGAGCTGTGCCAACCCCCCCCAAAGCTGCCAGACTCCCACACCGGTGCATTTTCAGCCCAGGGACTCTGTGCTGGTCTTGACCCCACTACACACTCCTCTTTGCACTTCCAGCATGTCTGGATGGGATCCTCCAGCCACTTGCCCTACAGAGGCCATGTCCCTCTGTCATCCCACCAACAGGAGCTTGGGAACTGTCCTGCCAGGACCTGCTGAGCACCTGGAAGAGTCTCAGCTTCAAGCCATCACATGTTGATGCTTTGCTTGGTGCTCACCCTGGCTCTGCTGGCTGGGGAATCCCAGCTTCTCTTGACAGCTTTGGGTTTTTTTGTACCCTTTTGGCTGCATTTCTGCTGAACATTTGCTGTTCTCCTTTCCTGCCACCCACCCAGACCCACTTCCTCCCCAGGGTGCATGTGTGATCATGGTGGGGTTGTGGTTGCCCCCCTGCATCTTCCAGCACTGCTGCCCCTGCCCACCACCGTGACCTGTCCCTGTCACCAGTCCTGGGTACGACGAGGAGGAAAATGCCCTTTCCTGGGGCTGCCTTTCCCCGACGGTGCTTGACTTGGCTCCCTGAAACGTGGCTTTTCCCCCGTCTCTCCCTGAGGTTTGCCAAGCCTGGAGCTCCCCCCTCCCCACAATCAACTTGTTGTGATTTGTCCCTTGATGCTTTTGCTCTTTGCGCCACCCGACCAACCCGTTGGCCACTTGTTTCCAGGCCCTGAGCTGTGCTTTGCTGCTTGTCACCCCCTGTGTCCCCAAACCCAGCTGTGTCCCCAGACCCCTGTGGGTTCAACGTGGATGTTTCTGCTCCTTGGGGGGCACAGCTGGGGACTTGTCCCCCATGCCCCCAACCCCACCCACGTCCTGTGGGTTCCACGCTGCCCTTCCTGCTCCCTGGGGGACACAGCTGGGAACTTGTCCCTCTGTGTCCCAGCTCAGGATGCTCCATCCTCCCCCAGTGTCACCCCCCCTGAGGGCTCTTGTGTCTTTGTGCTCGGAGAGGACGTGGTGGCTGCGTTGAGAGCTCCTGAGATTTTAGTTCCTAGGTATATGCAATAAGAAATAACTTGTCACTTCAGCTGTTTGTTACCAGCAGTAGTTCTCTTATGCTCTTTCTGTCGATGTTTACTAATGTAAACCCAGTATTTGTTACTGTAAGAGGATTTTTGTTTTTGTAAGGTACTTAAAAAAAAAACACAAAACAAAACAAAAAAAAAACAACCCCACAACAACAACAAAAAAAAACCCCACAAACCCCAGGAAACAAACACAAAACAAACAAACAAACAAAAAAA